CCGCGATTTCTGAGCTCACCATTCTCTATACAAACGGGGCTCATGACCACAGCGGTTGACCTGCCCAGCAATATCAATCAATCGAAGAAGCTCGGGGGAGATATTTCGTCTTTCAGGATTTCAACTCGATAAATGTATTTTCTTTTTTGCAATAATTTCAGAAGAATATATTTTCTGAACTAAATATTGTTGTCTCCAAGTTTTGCGTGATGGGCAACCGCGACAGAAAAGATTTATGAATTCAAGTTTCGTAACTACTTTGATTGTTTTCATGAAGTTTACTACAAATAAAATTTCCTGATTAAAAATATACATTTAATACAATTTTACAATACTGAACTAATGATTAAAACAATATAAAACAGTTTCGGGAGAAGAGTGATCACACCACCCATACAAATAATGAACTATTGAAGAATAGTTTGCATAGATTTGGTTGGACATGATAAGTATGCCAAGAAATTCCAAAAAGAACAATATCATCGATTGGTCAAAATTTGATAGCGTCACATGCAGTAAACAAGAACAATTCGAAAACGCTTAAGCGATGTTGTGAGTCACGAAGTCTCAACTTTTTGGCCCCAGAAGTCAACAATCAATCAATTATATCTCAAAACGCATGCACATAAAACATGTGTTGCTGATAGCAGAGGTCAATAGCGCAATAGTCTCTGATTACATTCGAAACGGCTGTCAATAGAATGAAAACACTTCCTTGAGAAAATTAGAAAATGGTATGAAAAGACTTTGAGTAAATTTCAGTTAACCAGAAATGTGAATTCTCGAAATTGGAAGGTGGTTGTCAAATAGGCATTAGTAATTCATTATTGTAACTTAGCAACTTTATTGATTATTTTTATAATTTTCAAATTTTATAATTTTCTAAGACGCTAAACCATTATGATTTAATGAACGATAACATGGATAATTTGTCATCCGCACCACAATCCCGAAATGAAAGCATTAATGTTCTTCACTACATTGGCGCCCATAACCATTCGATCCACGCAGTGTGATTGCTGACACGCTATCTCCCGGGTACCCTTTTTCGTACGAACATTCATTCCCTGAAGCATTTGAAATGCATTCGTCCATCCATTGCAGTTCCAATTACGCACCGCTGGATGAATGCACGACGCCTCCTCTTAAGCGCAACCAATTGAATCTCTGCCCGCCGGGGGGACGCGCGCTATTGCGCCCCGTTGACTCCGCTCTCCTGACACGCGCGACGAGTATGTAAGTGTGCGGTGCCCCGGGCAACGTCGGGGCTCGCGAGGTCGGCAGACGGCCGGTTGGCTGGCTGGCCGGCTGGCCGTCGCCCCTCCGCCCGCGATGCGTCGGCCGATAACGCGCGTGGACGAGCAGCTCCCCCTGCACCGCGCTGGCCTCTTGGCACGCCAGGGCTTCCATTTACTTTTGTACTCAATTTTATAATCCGACGTACGCGTCAGGTCACAATTGGTACTCAAAAATTGTTACCAATGGAAATGTACATTTTTACACGGCATGATAGTCCAAAGATTCGATTCGTACATGAAACGAAATCAGCTTAGAAATTTAGTTCTTAAAGGAAACTCAGAAACCTAAAGGGAGACCGTGCCTTAACGTTTGTATACCAAAGTCTTTAACATCTTCAGATACCCAAGAGCGGTACCGCTGTTCACAAATTTTTATTAATTAATTAATATGTATGAAGGTTCATAACACTGTAGAAGCAAAGTATCAGTCGTGTAATGTAAGTGTACTGCGTATTTTATATTTAATTATTATCATTACATTTCGCAACAATTTGTGTAGAAAATATTCTGAATGCTGTTCACATCATATAAATATGGAAACTAAGACTACTAACAATGTTGGGTGTGCAGTAGTATGACATACCTGTACTTTTTTGGATAGAGTATATTAATAATAATAATAATAATAATAATAATAATGGCTTTATTTATATGGCTAGACTAGAGCCATCCTGATAGCTCTTCCGCCCAACCACACGTACAAAATAGTAAAGAGAAAACGAGTAAAAAAAAAACTAGTACTGTTAACAAATGGTAGTTTGTGATTGAAAAAACAATTTACAGGAACGTAATTCGTAAAGTTTGACAGATAAATAAGATTTTTAAAATATGTTTAAAACTTAAAATATATAATTTTTAATTTTGAATTCCCCCCGATCGACGGTAATCTCCCCCGCTGCTAGAATCTAGAAAAACCACTAGGCAAAACCAACCTAAGCCAACCTGAAGTATCTGATCTTCGTATTTTATTCACGCTGCGAGTTGAAGAGGTGCACACCCACCCGGAATACATGGCAGTTTTTCCCGTTCGTGTTTTCACGTCTTCCGCAATGTAAACCGACCGCTCTCGCTTTTGCGCAAGGCCTCGCCTGCCCCCCCCCCCCCCNNNNAACTATTCTCCGATTTAATTGTAATGACTTCTGACGTTTAATCACTGGGGACGCGCTTATCCAATCCGGAACTTCTTCACGACTTATTTAATTTTTGGTACTGGAGCTTCCGATTGGATAAACGCTTCAAAGATGTTCAACAACATTAGAAGTCATTACAATTAAATCGGAGAATACTAACACGAATCCGAAAATAAACGAAGGATTTTGTTCGAGGAAGTTTTATTTGCCAGGTGGTGGCCACAATAATCCATGTTTGTCCGAGAAAGAGAACAAGAAAACGTAGGGCAGAACGGCTCCGGAACACAGTTCAGTCGGATTTCGAATTTTCTACATTAACGCCTGAATCACTGGGTTAAAATTAATGTTTTACAAATTTCAAGGTATGGTATTCTTGAAAACGTCCAATAGGGAGAATGTATTTTTTATATACGTTTTCTTAAGTGTTTTCTCATTCTTTGCCTAGTGCTTCAAGTATCATAAAATTTGAAGTACTAATAAATCGATAAAATCTGGTGATCCAGATTCTGTTTGCGAAAGCACAGATTGTTATTCTATCCTTCATCTCTTTTTTAAAATAGTTTTCTAAATGCTAGATGTTTACTCAAATGTTTCATATTTTTGAGTTAAGGAATTATCGGTTGAAGGAATGCATTGCCATGTGATACATCTCGTGAAAGTGATACAACGGTTTGTACGAGAAAAAAATACTCTCAAATAAGGTTAAAATTTTCCGAGCGCTTCAAATTGTATACAGTAACTCAATATATTCGAGTCGCGGCCGCAATGGGATAGTGATTGGGAAGCACCGTGTAACTTGCCAAGAGTTCTGAAGTCCTGGAGTTATGGCCGAAAGCAAATGTGGCTACGATGGTTAAACGCATTTCCACTGAAATGAAGGGTAAGCAACCCTGTGAGGATTCCGTGTTTCTCGTCTGCCTCGAGGCAAGTGCCGGGAACGTTAATCCGATCACAGTCTACGCAGGTGAGGCCTTAGTCGCTCACCGCCCGAGGGTGCAGCAGCGATCGGCCACCGCCTAGCGCACACTCGGAGGCGACTCCAAGGAGACCGCTCAGGAGGCACAGAGAAACTTGTCATTGTTCTGCTCTTTAAACAAAATGAAGTTGCAGTCCAACGGCGATGAAGAAAGTTTCATAATATTATACTTCAAGGGCTCTATTTCTGACAGAAATTTGAAAAATACAAATTGTGAGATAGGAATATTACTTTGTAACTTTTTAAAATAATTACTATTAACAGAAGTAAGATGTAACTTTTCAGTGATGCTCCTTTCTTATTCCATCAAGTAGTAGGCACGTTGAATTATCAGCGAAATCTTCCAAATAGTTTGTTACACTTTTTTAGTTGTGACAGAATTGCAATCCTTTAATTATATTACTAATTATTTGACCATCCTATGTCAATTCAACAATCATTCAATATTAACTTTTTCCATTCATTTAAATTGTACGATCATATATTAAAAAAAGCTGGAGCTTACGTTATTGTAAAAACGATCGCACGAAGCAATTTTAAATAAGTTCAAGGATTGTACGTCTGCATGCAGACCTTGGTCTCTGAATTTTCCCAACTTCTCTAACATACAAGTATAGGAAAGAGTCATATCGATAAAACCTTTAAGAGTTGACGAAGAGCAATTACTGTAATTATGAACGAACATTATTTTCCAGTATCTTTCAAGAGATCTCGACGAAGCAAACGTTGACCTTTTATTTACCCACGAAAAAATCTTCGAAGGTGGTGAGATAATTAGATAGTGAGTCGGTGCACATTTTTTTACCTCGCCATTATGAAGGAGGAAGATGACTAAGTTAAGAGAAGAACAGGAGCTTCCCCTCAAATTGAAATTTAAGATTCAATAATTGACAAAATTGGCAAACAAATTATATTTGAATGTAAGTCTTCACCACAATTCCCAAGCGCTTAATAATTTAAACGAAAAGAGGAAACTAAGTACAAAAAATATATAAATAATATATTCTTAGTGGAAAAAATAGAGCATTATATTATCCCTTATATTCAACTGAAATTTCTGAATTAAGAGTTATTCCTGTATGTTTATATCAATTTCTTAAGTTTTATCATCATTTGTTTGTCTTTAAATCAAATCCACGCCCATGAATTATCTGACGCCCGGAGTGCGGGGGTGGGGTGGGGTGGGGCTAGAGATATAGTTTTCAGCGGACTTCATATTTTTATAAAGAATATTTCATTTTGGCTGATTTTAAATTGTGCCAATTATTTGCCGTTTTGACTTAGAGATAATAATTTTGACATAAACAACTGATGTGTACAATGTCTTTTGTTAGTATAGAAAATTACTAACAGCTATATATTTTGTAATATGCATCATTTGCTTCTAAAACCCCGTGACCCCCCTCCTTGGGGAGGTGACTGGTGAAAATCAGTATTACAGCACAAAAGGCAAACCTGAAGAACTGTTCTATTCGGCACAGCCTTGCGAGCTGATGCAATAGATAAGGCACAGGACCCCTCCAACATTCGCTAATTGCCAAAGAAAGCGGGAGAGAGCGCGTGCGCAGCCGCGCATGCGCCTGGCCGCCCACTCACCCGCGGCTTGAGGTCGCGGCGCAGCTCGCACCGCAGCATGTCGCCGCAAGGGCCGAAGCGCAGGGCGTCCTTGGGCAGCGGCAGGCGGCGGTCGAAGCACTTGTCGCCCTCGGCGCCGCCGCACACGCCCTGCGCGCAGCAGCCGCAGGGGTCGGGCGCGACGAGGCCGAAGGCGCAGGCGGACGCCTCGGGCGGGCAGGCGGCCGGGTCGCAGCGCGGGCAGGGCGCGCCCTCGCCCACCAGCGGGGGCGGCGCCGCGCCCGCCGCCAGCGCCAGCGCGCACAGCACCCACAGCGGAGACATGGCCACAGCGGCGAGCGGAGCGGACGAGGGCGAGGAGGAGGAGGAGGTTGGGAGGGCAGCGGCCGGGCGGGCACTGGTGCGGCCGCCGCGCCGCGCCCGCTTTTGTAGGCAGCGCTCCGCCAGCAGGCGACGCCCCGCCCCGCCCCGCCCCGCCGCCGACGACACCGCGGGCGGGGGGCGGGCGTAGGCCGCCGCCGCCGCGAGTGGTGGAGTGGCGGAGGCGCGGCTGGGGTGATGTCGAGGCGGCAGCGAGTGAGCGTGCGTGGGTGGATGGGGGAGGTAAGAACGGGCAGACGGTGCAGTGCATGGAGCAAGCCGGGAGAGGTGGCTCAGGGCATCAAATAATCTCACACTGTGCCACTGACCAAGAAGATTTAAGTTAGTTACAACCACACTTAAACGCACTCCTCCCACACATGCCACGAGCCCGGCCGGGAGCTTAGAGCTTCTGCGGACTAGGGCGATGCCCCGCGGGTGGGCGATTCTTGGGTGCGCAAAATGCCGCTAGCCAACGGTAGGGCTGCGCCAGATCTCAGCATCCAACGCCTCCCACCGAGGAGAAAACATGCACTATACTTACGGGACCAATGACCTTATCCGTTGACACTTCCGGAATCACCACTCAGTCAATCCAATGCACGTAGCAAGGGAGAGGGTGACGGAGCCGCCGTTGTGGACGGGGGACGACGGGGAGCGGGTGGCGCACAGAACAACTGAAGAGGTTGATGACGACCCTGGTGGAAGTGGTAGCGTTGCAATGACGCTGGTGAGGGGTCAGGCGTTGTTATTGGGCAGGTAGCTTGGGTAATTAACAGGACTCGAATTTTGATGACATGTCATCTTTTATTGGCGCATTTTAGACGTAGCTAACTTGTAAATTAATATTTATTACAACATATAGATGATAGAAATGTATAGTTATTGGGTAATTTTAGCCATTTTTTGGGTTTAAAAAAAGTTTAGGTCTTTTTGTAACTTTTCCGTTATTTTTGAGGCATTTTTACGCATATTATTTACTTTTTGGGTGGTTGTTAGTGAATATTTTAAGAATTTACAATGGCACATTAAACAAAGTTTCTATTGTATCACTTCATGACATCATTCACTACTTTGATTTTGAACTGTCAAAATTACACGGTTCGGTAACGTCCTCGACCTATCAAAACTGCTAGTTGAAAGATCGGAGCTAAGGATTATACATAGAGCAATTGATTCAATAGCTGGCGGAATGCGTAAAAGAGATTAAAAGTAAGTTTGAACAGCTTGGTGCAAGATTTCCAGTTTTGATTTGCTCGTGCCAACAGGCAGCCATTGTGACAGCAGTGAACCTCTTGGGCGGAGCCGACGGCGACAGCGACCCCAGCAGCTGAGGGGGCGGAATCATCCGACTGGGACCATACAACGGGCGAGTCGTCTCAAGCGCATCGTGCCGGCTGCCGGGTCGGAGAAGGATCCGCCTCTCAACCTCGGGTCGTCGCAGTGGTTGGGGGGCCGCGCAATGGAAGAGGGTGGGAGCGCGCCGGGGCGACGGAGCCAGAATAGGATGTGGAGGAGAGTAAAAGGGGATGGTGAAAGGGAGAAGGCGGGCCGGAGCGGTGTTGGCGTCGACGTCTTATTTCCCGACGACCTTGGCAACGCCCTTTGCTCGACCGAAGCGCCTTCTGACGCGCTATATCGAAACTTAATAGACCGGAAGACGGCTTCCCCCGCAACGGTTGGCGCAAGCCGCTGTTTATTCCGCGGACAAGCGCGCCGCCTGTGCCCCCCAGCGGCGAAGTTCGCAACGGTCTCCTCCGGTCTCCGCCGAAACAAAGGCCTGGCCTTCGAATGCGACGAGCTACAAAAACATGTGGACGGATCCGACGACGTCAAACGGACAGATACAACTTCGTAATAATAAACCATAATTTTCACTACATTCTTAAATTCAATGAATGATTTATATATTTATAGGCAAATTCTCCATATCTTTTATAGAAAACATTACGACTGCATATTTTTGCCTACATAATATAGACAATTTTTTTTCTACCATGTGCGCAAACGATGCTACGTCCTAACGGTTTTTTTGCGACATGTGGTCACTTACGGCTTCCTACTGAATCAAGATTCGTGCGTTTTAGTGCAGGCTAGTAGAGTTCTTTCAATATGTTAATAATTAATTGGCACAAATTCCCAGCTAATCTTCATTTTTCTCAGAAGTTATCTTAAATTTAGGATACGTTTTATAACGCTTGTTAAATATTGATTTATGGAAAGTATGTGAAAGCTGTGTATAAACATTGTTTAGTCAGTACATAAGCTTTTCACAAACTGTACGAACTAATGTTATGATTTTTGAGGAATTTGCACACATTTTCTAGAGGGAAATTATAATGGGTCTTCATCACCCACAAAAATTAAGATACAAGACTTTATCATTTTCATTACCACGTCTACTTATTACCACAAGCATATTAAGTAGTAAACATTTCATAGTAATGTGCATCTATAGTAATGAAATGGTGTATTGTATATCGTGTATTTTGAAAAATACACATTATATATAAGATATTAGCATATAATGACACGTGCAATAATATTATAATAATATGTAATATGTGTTTCTAGAATTAGATGTTTAATAATTCAAAAATAGTTCCACCTCTTCATATTCATTTACCACCGCAATTTACCACAGCTATTCCATTCATTTCTTCACGGACATAACTTAAGATAAATTTCTTCGATTATTCCGTACGATGCTTAAAGTAATTTCTGTAAATGAAATTTTGCTCATGATAAGATATATATCACTACTTGGAATGTAATTATATTGCTACCAATGTAGGTGGCCCGAACTTTTAAATTATCTACGACGGAATAATCTAGAGACAAATCTGGTCAATGTTGTATTAGAGATGAGAAGTTACCAATATCTCGAGAGGGAAATGTAACTGAAGTAAAGACAAACCATAAGAAATCACATCAATCACATTATAACATTACGTAATACTGTCCTTTTATTTGGACACAACACAACCACAGACAAGTGAAATGTCACATGAAACAATCGGCGTCCGTTAGGATTGTATTGTGCGTCAACTGTCAAGACTAATAGAAATAAAGGAGAGTTGTTTTAAAAAATGGCACATTGTGTTACAAATGGATTAAAACCAGAACGGCATAAGTGACATTTTATAAATGCCGAGAAATATTTTTATTAGATGTAGATTGAGATTTATTTATTTAGTCAAAAAAACAGTAAAAACTTAATGTGACTGAAGATTATATGCACAAGTTTTCTTGAGTTCCAGAATCCCTTCCCGTCATTTTAACTACAAATAGTTGAAAGATGAGTAAAAGTTTAAAATAAATAAATAAAAATATATTTTAAAATATCGTGAGATTATTAATATTTGAAAAAATAGGCATTTTCGTTTCCGAGTTACAGAAAACTTATTTGCAACGGTAAACGAATACATATATTTCGTTCGCAATATTCACAAAGCCATTCTCATTTTCTTTCACAGAACAATTACAACATGAATACACACGAGGTTTTAATTTTTAACTAAAATAACTGATTTCTTTAAAGATGTCTTTGAGGTAGTCATCAGCCATAGTAACTTGTCCCTGCCCTTCTTTTAAAGATTCTGAAGTTAAGGAAAGCGCCCACCGCCTTGAATTCGCTCCGCCACTGCGTGCTGGCCAGCGCAGCGGCGGCGCTTCGTGGAACTGGCATTTAGCACAGGCGTCGCTTGGGTGCGCGCTGCCCCAGCCGTCGCAGCCTCGCGACGCTTCTCGCCGCGGGCGGACGCGCGACTAATCAGGAGCGCATCTGCGAATGAGCCGGCGGCGGCGGGGGCGCGGGCGGGGCTGGAGGTGGGAGCCGAAACGGGGAGGGGCGGTGGCGATGGCGAGGGGGCAGGCGTTGGGGGCAGATGCGGGGGGCGGGCGTGGGCGTGGCGGCGGCGCGCGCCTCGGAATCGCCTGACGCCGGGGCTGCGCACGGCCGCTTGTTCGCGTCAACTGGTGCAGCGCCCAAGCCCCGCGAGACACGCGCGCCTTGTGGGCTGTGCGGATGCAGGGGGCGCCAGCCAAGGCGGCCCGGCGCATGTGGCTGCCCCCTAGGCCTACGCCGTCACGGGTTGGCCTGCGTCCCTCTTGGATTTTCACTTGCTCGCTCTGCAATGTTGCAGATTCAATATAAAATTTACATATATTTTGAAGTGTGAGTGGGATACTCAAGCTATCTATCAGTGATGTATATAATCTTACATTTGTCTCTGCACTTGTGGAAACATAATTGTTTTACTTGGCAATAATTTGTTGTTCTGTGAGTTTTTACTTTTTTGTATAGTTTCACAACTACCCATTTAGAATGAACGTGAAAATTATCAGAAACATATAGCAACAATTCGGCGCAATAAATAGATAGAACCCGACGGTGTACCAGGCGAGATACTGAAGCTTGAGGCAGAAATCATTGAGTATTACATCACGTGACTGTTCCAAATATCCATTCAAGGTGCACTTCCTGATGACTGGAAAAAGGCTTTAGTTGTTCCAAATCTCAATTCTGATGTCGACAACTGCTCTCATAGTCCGATTAGTCTAACATCTGTAGTAGGTAAACAAATGTATAAAATCATTGCAGGATACATGAGAGCTGTTCGGGAAACTACAGAATGGTTGTACGCAGGGCAACACGGGTTCAGTCCAGACTACTCATGCGAAACCAACTTCTAACAGTTTGCCAAGACATTTCCGACTCTTTAGATGCAGGAGTAACAACGGACGCGATATTCATGGATTTTACAAAAGCATTCGACTTAGTTCCTTGCGATCGATTACTTGATGAACTTCGAAATTCAGGAATTCACACAAGAGTAATCACTTGCATCGACTCTTTCCATAGCGGTCCCTCACAAGGAATTAAGATAGATAATTATCTTTCTGATGAAATCCACGTCATGTCAGGGGTAGCGCAAGGAAGCGTGCTAGGCCTTCTATTCCTAGCATACGTTAATGATATTTCCGATTCTATTAATTCAACGATTAGGCTCTTTGCACATGACTGTTCACTATACCGACAAATACAAAAGTCTCGAGATCAGCAGATTCTGCAAAAGTATCTCGATAAAATTATGAAATGGGTGATAGAAAATGAAATGAAAATTAAACCTAAGAAATGCATAGCTATAACCTTCAGTAGGAAGCGTGAGAAAATGTCACTAAAATACACATTTGCAGATCAATCTGTGCCTGAGGTCAGTATCTTCAGGTTTTTGGGAGTTAATATTTGAAGCGATCTGAACTGGTCCAACCACATCCATCACGTTGCGCGCAAAGCTGGGAAATCACTCAATTTTGTAATGCGCATACTGGAGAAAGGAACCGCATGGAAACTGCACAAGAGATATTATGAAATTTAATATGTAACTTCTACTTAGTTATTGATTGACGTTCAGATACAATTGAATTTATTGAAATTGCGTACCCAAAATCACCCCATAACCAAACTGAATGTGAGCAAAAACGTTGGTTTTATGAAATTTATTGTCACACCTTTGCCCTGATGGACTCCCTTGTTTCCCAGTTTATGGTACTGAGGATGCGGGTCGTGTGAAGGTTTAATGTTTCATGTTGTTGCGTAACACAAAATGAGTTCGTAGAAGAGTACTTTATCTGTGAGTCGTGGTGCAAAAAGGAAATACTGGGCTGCAATCTCAAATATGTACCTCTCCCTCTCTCATCAATACTCTTTTTCTTTCCGTAAAGTAAAAAATGAGACGCAATTGAAACGTTGATAACTATTCAACTCACCTGCGAGGATTTCTTTTGATTAATCGATTTGACTGATTAGCCTTCTCAGCTATTTTTGATTTTACGTATGCTTAAATTAGCATATTTTCGTACACTTATTTGCACAGAATGATAAAATATATTAATTTTTCTGTATCAATTTTTTTTCATTTTTACACATTAGTATTTTTACTTTCCTGTTTACATACGTATATACAGAGTAATATACGTAGTATAGGAAAAGTTATATAAGGCTGCGGTAAATCGATTTCGAGAGTTCGATGGAAATATACTTTTTGAGGTCCCCTGACAGGAAAAGTGCTAGTTTCAACATCCGTCGGTCCGCCTGTCTTTTTGTGAACAATACTAGCGCCTAAAGTATTCGTAGGATTGTGTCCGAAATGAATATTCCCCGATCGACCTGGCCCTATTTGAAGCTCAGATATTTCGAGAAACAGTCTTTAAATTACTTTAAAATACTTTACTTCTGCTCTTTGCATAACATTTAACAAGTTCGTTGGGTATACTACCTTCTTCTTTAATATTTTCATAATATTCCTCATCTCCTTTTGTTAACATCATTCTAATTTCTTTTCTCAATACGATTTTCTTTTCATCCAATAACCCAGTGTACTTATTAAATGCTTCTCCGTAAATGACTCACAGGTACGTCACAAAGAAAGAGTTGTAAGGAGGCAGCGTTTTCTAAGAAAGCAAATGATCACAATTTTAATTGCTTTAATCGAAAATTAGTCGGATTATATTTTCACGTGCTCCATGTTTCTAAAGGGCATAAAAGGAAGAAATATAAATAAAATAAGTAAGAGCGTCCTCATTTTAAATTCCTACACTATTTTAAACTTTTCATCAAAGACACGTATTGTTCTAAACAAAAGTAAACGCGTGTTTACGTATTGACCAATGAACACTAATTGTATTTCAACGTAGATTTCTAGCTTTCTACCAAGCGTGAAATGAATGTAATTAGATCACTTAAATGTTTACTAGCATGTACGATTTTATCACAGACCGAGAACAGTTGACGATCTGTTTTCAAGCATGTACCATGAAATTTCTTGTAGACCTTTGCTGAACGTGCGCAGTCGATGTAGAGGAAAAGAAACACTGATGGCAGATTTCTTTGAACACTTCTATTAGTTCCGCAGGCCTTTCAGCCTGTTATTTTTAAGATTAGTTCCTGAAAATACTTCAGAATTCTGAATACCTTTGCAGATAAGACAGACGTTTACATTTTTGCCATTGAGTGTTGTAGGGGGCCAAGGACCCAAGGCCATGCACTCACCACCTTCAGAGGTCAAACATGTGCATGAAAAAGGGAGGGGTAGGGTAAGGTGGCTAGCTCCACCACAGAAACTCGACTTTGATGACCTGCTCGGTCAATCCATATGAATTTCGTGCACAAAGCAAACTCTGGGAGGTTTTCTCAATGTTCTTCCATTGCCTCTGCCTATCGATCAATGTTTTATCGGGGTTATTCCGTTGTCTTCGCTTCTCATTCTGTCATTTCTTCAACAACATTCCCCTCATCATCATTGTCGATTTCATCTATTCGTAGTCATTACTGCATCATCACTCATGAGTCTAAATATATTTTTCAGAATTGTTCCTTCAGATTTTATTTTCGAAATCTGATTTTCTATTTGGAAGTAGTTTACCCCTCCTAAAATTAATAAAAAAGTGCACCAAAGAGAATTTATAAGATGTGTTGGTGACATACGTATACGTTTTGTAATTCCATTTGTCGGAATTTTGTTGCAATTTTCAATGTGAAACAGTTGAGGAAAGAGTCTTAACCAGGTTTTTGAGTTGATTTCGCCCCAACGCCCCGCGGCGTCGCCCGGCGA